CTACCGAATACAATTCTGGTGGCATCTAGTGTCCGGGAAGGAGTACAAGTTAAGGTTGAGAGGTGAGAATTCTAGGGCAGCGGTGGTTCGGGATTTCTCTTCTCTCTTTCATTCACCGGGTCGGTATTCTTGCTTGAGGCCAGAGGTCAAACGAGGCCGTTCACATGGACCAAAAACGCTGGCCCAGACGTATCCTCACTGCCATAGAGTTGACCAAAGCTAGGGTAACTGCAGTAGAGAGACTCAAAAATTGAGAATGCAGTTCGGCCTGGAGCAACTCGAGCTCCCGAATAGTACATCCGGACAAAAAAAGTGGAACGTATTTCGCAAAGAGCTCAAAGCAAGGGTGCGGAAAAAACTGGATGACTTATGGCGACAGAACATGGTCACCAAAACCACATTACGTATATATCGACAATTCAAAGACAAAAGGGGTCTTGAGAGGAATATATACGACAACACGCGAGGCAGCCGACTCTTGGCGCTTGCAAGAGCAGGAATGCTCAACACCAGGAGTCGACAACATGCCCGAGACCCTTCGATCGACGAAAGCTGCCCCAAATGCGGAGCCCCAGAGACAGACACCCACATCGTTCTGGAATGCGAGGAAGGAAGATTCGACCCACAAGAATATTCGCACCGACTTGGACTTCACCCTGGTACTACCGCGAATGATCTAAGGAAGACGAAAAATATCTTGACGAAGTGGGCGGATGAATGATCTGTGAATGCAAAAAAAATTCACCCCTGAAATGAAAGGGACCATATATATACGCATATGGAAGATCGAAATAAAATCAATCAATCAATCAAATCACCATTCCGTAATCCGCTTGGTGGATTGAGCTCGCGGGATGACAGATGAATTTGTACTTTAAGTTCCGACTCTGAGCTCAGCCGCCTTTGGAGCCGGTATCGAGTCCGACTTGTTCCAGCTATATGCTTCCACATAGGAGCTCGGTCGCTGGAAAATTGACTTTGTCGAGTTTACTGAAAACCTTCCTCCATTCCATAGAGATCAAAGAGCGGGAACTCGGCTTGCATCTTCCGAAGTGGATGGAGAGCTATGCCGTAGACGGAGCGGAGCTCCGAAAATAACTGGACCGTAAACTCCGATGCCTTGAGTGAAGATTTGATAATTGGAGCCAAGTGAAGCGGAATACTGCACAGCGGTGCAGGGAGGAGGAGGAGGTGCAGGAGCTTTCTCACCTCTTCACTCGATTCTTTGAGCTCGGTGGAACACTCGAAAGCCGTTCTCTGCGCTGCATGAAACAACCAGCCAGTCTTACCGGGAGTGTACTCGTTCGTGTTTCTTGCATCGGTGTACAAGTGACCAGAGCGGCCAGAGTGGAGAGAGGCGGAGGATACTACGTCACAAATAGAGAGCACTGGAGATAATATTTTTATATATGAGACTACCGTGTGGAGATCTATGCATACGAGATCACCGTGTGGAAATCTATGCATACGAGATTCCGGTGGTATGAAAATCCCCGGAGCCGTTGTCTTTTCACCGATCGAAAACATTTTTAGAGTTACGATTGCAGTAAAAAATCAAGTGGGACTCCGCATCGATTGGCGAGCGTGAGTCTACCCAGTCCGTCGGGAATTCGTGGGATAAACGGACTCCGGAGATATATGTTCTTCTTCGGGTGAACAGGGATGAACTTTACTATCGAGGGTTTGTCTCGAGACTCATAGAAGGACGCAGCTATCCCTGAGAGCGTGTTTTCGACCCGAAAGTTTTTCAGGAACTTCTCGATTATCTACCATTCTTCCGGACTTCATGTTACCGCAGCTAGGGAGCGGAGGTCCAGCATCGAATGAGAAAAGAATGATTTACTCATAGATCATAGACACCCGAGTGAGTCGATGTACTGTCCCACCCGGGGGGCTGACTTGTCACCCTCCAAACCTGCTGTAGAATAAGGGCGACGATCTGGGAAGCCATGTCAATCCCGATTTGCAAGCTTCACAAGTAAGGGGATGGGTATAAAAGGACCTTGAGGTCACGGAATAAATCAGTTGATAACAACGAGGTGTCTGTCCGACAGCTCGACTCATTATTGGCGCACCCGACATTGGAAAATGGTTCGGATTACTGTTCGAATCCGAGCCGATGACTCTGTGGAGCCCCGAGATTTTCGAGTGGCCGCTCTAAAAGAGGAAGGCACTGACGATTGGATCTTGTTGAATACAGCAACAGCTGCACAGTTCAAGCAGGTGGTGATGGCGAAGATACCGAACAAGTCGGCGGTAGAGCTCATCGCTGCGACAGAAGTGCGACTCAACGTCACGTCAGAACAGGTGTCCAAAATCTTCGCATCCCCGTCTCATCCTGCTGCACCTTCCGGTAAGGACAGCGAGGAAAAGGACGAATCGACAGCTCCCAATGTTGTTCAGCAGTTCGCTAAGCTCATCGTGAAAGAAATTGTCGCCGTCGGTTCTTTCGATCGGGTTAAAGCAAAGCCTCCAGTATTTCGTGGCGGATCGGACAGATTGACGCCCGAGGCCTGGATCGCTCAGTTCGAGCACTTCGTTGCTGGCCGCGACTCGTTCGACTCAGTCATGATCCTCCGTGAGTACGTGTCCGGAGTCGCACTTGTGTGGTACAACTCAACGCTAGCGGTTCTCGGTTCTTCAGCCGAGTCGTCTGACTCGAGGGAAAACTTTCTTTCGGCATTTCCCGCGGATCATCTCAGGGATGCTGAGCAAGCCACCAGGTACCATTTCAAGGAGGTCCACGGCAGTCTCACCGAGTAATTTCGAGATACAGAGGTTGCTTCTACGGGCCGATCCTGGTGCGACAGACCGTTCGCTCCTGCAGGCTGTTCTACTAGGGATGCCGTTCTACCTCAGGAAACAATTCAAGATTCTGAAGCCTCAGTCGATTAAAGACATCATCATGAAGGTCGATTTGGTTTCTGTCAAACCAAAGAAGGAGGTGTCAGAAGATAAAGTCTCCGAGTCCTACAAATCGAAACCAAAACCGTCTCGTGTCAATGCGGTCATAGTCGAAGATGTGGATGAATATGAAGAAGAGGAACCTTTAAACTAGTAAACGGGGGTTCGGTTTCGACCCCGAAGTCATCAAACGAGACTGTTCTCTTGAGCGGAGCTAATCTTCCCACTCTTCCCGTGTTGTTACAAAGAGAAAAAGTGGTTTGAGCTGTACTAGATTCTGGTGCCACGTTGTCGCTGTTGAATCAAAAGCTCGTGGAAGGACTTCAATGTACGAAGGGTCGCCGGGTCGAGGTGCAAGATTATTGCGGAGTAGTTCGAACATACGACCGGTGGACTAACTTACTCATCAGAATCGGAAATGAGGCACGAACTGTTTGTTTTCTAATCGTAGGACAGTTGAAGTACGATATGCTCATCTCACGACCCACCATGAAGGAGTTCAAGTCGAATCTTCACTATAACGACACTATCTCTTTCGGGGATCAGTACGACAAGAAAGTATCCATGAAGGCGAATGCGTATTTCAAGCGTGACTTGCGTACGTTTCAAATAAGTTGCATGGATGATGTCAAGGAATTCTTTCCCGGGGTGGTGTCTGAAACTCCTTATCTAGAACCGGTAAAGAAGTTCTCAGTGCCATTCTTGGTTAGTGACAATACACCAATTTGTCGAAAGCCGTACACGTTGTCTCGGGCCAAGCAGATCTGCATGGAGAAGGAGCTGATGGAGATGCTGAAGCACGGAATAGTTCGAGAATCTTCTTCGTGTTTCGGTAGCCCGTGCACGATGGATCCCCCAAGTCGCAAGAATCGAGTGATACACCGGGTCTCCGGAGAGCTTTCGGAAGCTGATGTACTTATCTCGGATCGCATGAACGGCTCGATGGAATCGTCACCGGACGTCGCCAACCGACATGAATGGAAAAGGTATTGGTTACCTCAACACGCATCGTGCTCGATCCGGATCCAAACTCTCTCTGATGATGAGGCACGCGACCCAATCGGAGGGAGAGGAATGGTCGATCTGATACCCGGAGATAACCCGCTCCAACGTTCTATCAATCGGTCGGAGACTCCACTCCTTAGGAGCTGAGTTTGAGTTTGGCACCGCATTCGGGAACAGGGAGCTGGCCGGTCCCACTTGACGTGGACAATCTAACAGCGGCCCCCTGATATTTGAAGGGTTTCGGAAATATATAGCACGAAAGTAAAACGAATATCTCCAGGTTCTGCGTCGGCATTGCAACACTTTTCAATGAGAAACAAAGGCTTTATTTACAATTTGATGATAATACATATTTACACTTATTTAGTATGCTGTAGAGTAGTAGTATCACACCAACAAACACCGTTAAATGTATGGCTACCCGAAAGAACCACACGACTCGCACAAGAAACATCTCCCACACAAAGGAACAGACGGTTAGACTCACGCTCACAGCTACAAAATGCGAAAAATTCGAAAGCCTATGCGTAAAATGATAATCTTGATCATGTGATGATGCAGATAGAGATCGTATAATCGATCCTCCTGAGCGAACGACCATCAAACGATCGCGTCCATAGAATTGCACCTTTTGGGTGCGATCGGACAATGGAGTCGTGCGATGACGGTACGATCGATGTTCTGCGTGTAATCATCTTCCGCGGGAGATCCTAACCTCCATCGATTCGCCGATTCGTCTTTCGATCGGAGGTCCGACGACGACTTCGTTAGACGGTCGGAGCAGCCAACCCGTCATCATCGATCGGAGCGTTGTTCGAATGTGCTTGAGCCCAAACTCGGTAAATGTTTCAGCTCGATTGTGTCGGTATCTGTCAATTAGCCAATCAGCCAGCCAGTCAGTCAGTCAGTCGATCAGTCAGACGTTCGCTGGGTCGGTCATTCGGTCACTTGCTCGACTGCCTTGTCACTGGGCTGGTGCGATGACGCGAACGGAGTTCGCTTGCGGCGTTTGTGGTTCGAGTGCTGCCTCCGTGCAAAGCTCTTTGTTCCCATTCGCCATTATCAGCAACAGAATTTAGTAAAGAATTCATCTAACTATCTAGCTAAAACTCTAGTTTTACGCCTCTGCTAGACACCATATGTCAGGAGAACGCAATTGAGGAATTTCAAAGTGTTCACATCAAAACAAAATAGTAGTCCTAATCGAGGTCGACAATTGGTTGCGATTCTATGGTAGTCTCAACAATTCACCCGGTATCTTAGGCTTCTATTGGGCGAGGCATCACTACCCGCTCGCGGCAGAAGTTTCCATTCGAGCTGCTGGGGCTCTTCGAGCGTGATGTCTCGCAGTACACGTCCCCTGACAGGCGTGTTTTCTTTGTTGTTCATTTGAATTTGTCCTACTTGATCATTCTTCCTCTGAAGCGCCTTGTTCCGTCGCTCCATGAGTTCGTTGGTGTCTTGCGTCATGGTCCCGCGGCGCTCCCGGAGTCGGATGCGCTCCTCACTTTGCAAAATTAATGGGAACGGCACGAATTCCGGCTTGGGTTCGAGGGACAGGGACCGGCTCCGTTTGAGCGTGAGATTCTTCAGCGTGGAGCCGTACTGCTTCATGCGCGTCGTGAAACTTTTTTTCAGCTCGCGCTCGCGGGGTCTGTCGGGCGTTCTACACGAGTCGAGAGCAAAGGCTTGAATGAGGTCGGCGTTCTTCACCAGCAGCTTCATACTCTGCTTAGCCACCTCGGTTTGCGCTCGCAGCTGTTCCGCGCTGATGACTTCCTTGATCTTGCAATCCGTGGAGAAAGCGCTCTCTCCAAGAATGCTGGCCAGATTGTCAATGTCCATGAGGTTCACATCGGAGTGAGCGGCAACGATTTGCAGAAACTTGCACAAATGCTGTAGGGTGAACACATTGTGCGCCGGCATCGATGACAGCGTCAGCTGGAGATCCTCCATGCTCTCAGGAGGATGAACAGGACGACAGCATTTCTCGAATATGCTCTGCTTCCGAAGCCATCGTTTCAGAATCGTGCACACGTCTTGGATTGGCTGATCTTGCGGAATCCGTTCCCCTTTGGAGAGTCGTTCCTGAAGAACTCGAATCCGCTCGGTGCTCCCTCCGATTCTGAAGAGTCCTTCCGTTTCAACATGAAGTAGAATGAAGGATGTCAGGTCTTCCAACACATCGGGCACATGGCGAAGAGGAACCAAACTCGAAGATACCTGTAGGTAGAGTTAGAGATCATGAATGAGGAAAAAACGAGAGATCCCAGGATTCGCTGTTCTTCGATCGCTGATTGCGCTTCCCGAAGAGCATTAAAGCGCTCTCTCCGAGAGTAGGTCGTGAGTCTCTTGGAATGGCTTCAATTCGCCGTGAAAGGCTTGTTCGAAGGGCACTGACCGCGGCCTTCGTTCCAAAACAAACTAATTCCGAACGAAACAGGTGTTCGACGCATGGCGCGCACCCGATGGTTCGGTCTTCAGGAGGAGGATAGTGCGCCAGCAAGTGCTTTTGAAATGCTCACCAACTTGGACCGATGGATCGAGAGTTTCTTCATCGCGTTCCTTGCACTTTCCATGTCTTTGCATTCGACAGTGTTGGAATTTTCCTGGTCGGGCGACCAACACGCTGTCTGATGGCTCAGACGGTTTTCTTAATAGGACGGGGCTAGCACACTCACTCAATATTTTTTCACCACTGGACGTCTGAAATTGATACCGCACGCGTCTCTGAATGTAGACAAACGTGAACCTTGGATTGTGTGTGATGACCTCTCGCACTCATACGCTGCTGAATTTCTCTTTATAGTCAGAAAGCGCTTGTTGTACAGAATCCTTGAACCACTATGCTATGTATCCGCGAAATCAGGCGGACTCCGTTCTACCGATAGTGTTCGACCGAGACTTCGAGTGTGCGGAGATATAGTTGAGGGAAGTTCTCATCCGTTGAGACATGATCGTTATCACGGAATTCACTGTCTTTACTTGTACATGCCTTTGATTTCATTGAGAGTTCAGGGGTGAACGATTCGCTGTCTCTCTCGGTGAAGCCTTACGCCCTTAGGACGGAGGGGAGGAGGGGAGGGGGACGGTGTTGGAGAGCTGTTCGTTTCGGAGCAGAAGATACTGATTCCTGATAAGACCCTTTGGAATCCAATGGGCACGCGATTCGGCGCCGCTAAAGAATCAATCCACGAAGTGTTGGGCTGCACACCTCCTGTCTTTATTTGATTTGCATCGAATTCCGTATCGGGGGGTTCTCGCGGTGAGGATGGAGAAGGATTTCTCGTTTCATAGTACTCCTAAGCTAATAGTTCCCCGGCGTCTGCCGGAATCACCAGTTGTATCCATAGGGAGTGGGGACAAAGGATGCCGGCTTCTCGGCTTTCTGCGGTGTCGCTTGCGGGAAGGCAGAGGGAGCTGAAGGAAAATCGATCAGATAATAATTCATTGGGAGAGGAAGGAAAGTCCTTCAGTATGTCTGACCATCTCGGTTGAGCTGATGTATTCACCTTTCGGGGTAGGTAACTTAGCAGGTCCCTGAGGCATGGGAGCGGAATTGGCGATGATCACATTGGCGGGGTTCTTCTGCTCGGTTCCAGGTTCATTGGTGTCCACGATAGCGTTGAATCCATCGGCTCCTACAAGCAGAGATGCAAGGTATGTCAGCCTGCAGGTTCCACAGATGCGAGTCGATCGTCTCCGAATCGGAGTGGGCCATCGATCAATATATGGAGAAGATATACCACACGTTGAAGGAAGGGATATGGCCCCGATGTGGAGGCATACGAACCGGCGGAATAATTTACTGTCCTCTGACGGCCGTCGTTCAAGCTGAACGAGTAAGATCCTTGGACGTTCCCAGCGCCGTCGGCAGATTCCTGGCGGGATTGGCGTCCATCGGGAGCTTCGATTTCATAACTGAAAGAATAGAAGAAAAAAAAACCGTGATCGAGTTGAATCTCTTTCCAGAAGTCTTCAAGGATCGGCCATGCTCCAGAAGATACTTCAATCTGAACTCAAAGAGCACTGCTTGTTCGTCGCAGACTCACCTGAACGAGTAACCCTCCTGGGCGGCGACGGGGGCCGGGGTCGGAGCCGCGGCAATCGGGGCTGCGGAGATCGGGGCTGCGGCGACCGGAGCCCTTGATGGAACGATTTGGCTCTTTTCCACGGTAGCCGGGACGTAGGGTGCGGTCAGGACGGGAGGAGCATCCGCAGGAGCGGCCCATTGAATTCTATGGAGGTTCCGTATATAATAGTAGTCGTAGGGTGAGTAGATCGCCACCGGGTTCTGGTGGGGTCCATAGAAGTAGGCAGCGCCGAAGACCTCTGAGAATGTCAGGGCACAAGCCACGAGTTGTACGACAGGAAACATCTGCAAATGAATGCTTGAGAACTCGGAAAGCTGGTCTCCAATCGAAGAGTCACGCTCAACAACCTCAGCCACGGACTTCGTGAGGGTTTCGCTCGGTCCGTCCTCCGGTCGAATGAGTCCTATACCTTGAGTGTCTGGAGATCTCGACTTGATTACGACTGTCAACGATGTCCGATTTATATACGGGTGAGTTCGTCGCGCGCTCCGCCCCTGGAGGGCCGGGGCACTCTTTCCGGTGAGCCCACGGTTCCGACGTTTGCCTAGCCGCGAATTTCCAGAGTTATCATCATAGAATGTCAAAGGAAATGAGTCAGAAACGGATCCACGCCCCAATCCCTCTGAAAGTATAACAAATCGAAAGGTAGCTGATAACACGGAGCGGAGAAGACGCTCGAACAACTGCTCTTTAATTTGCTCCAACGGACGCTTCAGAGAACTCCGGGAACGCCCCGCTTCGCCTCAGAATTTCAGATTCAGAAAGTGTATACTCGCTCGATTCTTCTCCGCTTAGATAAGGAGATATGATCGCCATTTCCATCGAACATGATGACTGAGATAAATATTGGAAGGGGCAGGAGAATATTCCGGCTCTCGGGTTAATAGAAAGTTTTTTTATTTCTCCCGAATGAGCGGGGGAGACCATCGAAGACACATTCTCGATCCCGCGTTGAGCGTTCCTCGATGCGGACGTCCATCTGTTCAAAAGCATCCTGACCAATATCGGCTCTATAGCGGCTGCATCGCTCGATAACAATGACCGATAGGGCTCCAGCTTCGGATTTTGGCTTCGGTGAGTCGGGGGTTCTTTTCAGAGAACGCGTAGTATTTTTATTCTTGCCCCGTGATATCGCCATCGAATCGTTCGACGATCAAGAAACATAAAACATCCGTCCGATCACTCATCTCTCTTCACACCACACGGTGCCTTAGCGTTCCCAGCGTGTGAATATTGCGGGCATGATGTTTATCCTGGAGAAGAACAAGACGTGGGTGACGATAAGCTCTTCTGGCACAAGAACCGTTGCTTCAGGTGCTACGGGTGCCACAGGGAGTTCTTCAAAGATCGTCGCTGCAATCTGTGAGTCTCGAGTTGATGAAACTTGGTACCCACATCGACTACTTGTAATTCAATGCGCTGGAACGTTCGATGTCCTCGAAAATCTTCCTCCGTCCCGCAATGAGGAGCCCGTTCTTTTCACAGGCTGCCTTGTATCGCTCTCTGCGACGATTGCTTCCCGCGACGCGAATTCCTTTTGGACGATTGGAGAAATCTCAACAACCTTAGCACTAAGTACGTTCAATTCGGTTGGCCGGAATTCTGATTCTCTGCATGCCCGAAACAACGTGATGCAAATCTCCATTTTAGACAACGTCGAGTCATTTTCTTGTCGCCCGTGGTCAAGCCGAAGAATACGAGGAAGCCTCCGAGTGAATCCCCAGTGAAGAGAGTCAGAACGCCGGGATCCGGACTTCGAACGTCCGGGAGTGTAGACCCCACCATTCGAGCGTCCGAATCCTCAAGCTCTGCGAAGACCTCCGATACCGCTCGAAAGTCGATGAACACAGAACTTCAGAAGACCGGTGGTCCTCCGCAACCTGAAAGACCCAGCATATCGGAGCTAGCAGCTGGGTCTGGCACTGGAGCTCCTGAAGAAAGTCCCGTGATTGCAGTGGAAAAATCCCATGACGATGTTGCCCCCCAGAGTTCAGAGAAAGGTATCGAGGAACAGATTGCGGAGGCCATGGGGATCACCTTGCCGACGGCTGACATCGGCCCGCCTCGAGAGCCAGTGCAGTCACCGTTCGAAGCTCCGGAACACGCCGCCAGTCGTGTTGAGAAAACCAATCGAGTCGAGAAAATAGTCGTTGATAAGGAATTTCTGGTTTTTGGTTTGAATGAGTGGGAAGAGGTCGTACCAAATAACATGACCGAGAGCGAGTACCTTAAGCTGAACGAAGGATACAATGAAGATCAGAATCCTCGGTCAGTGTCTGCACTCGCCCTTCGAGTCAAGGACGAGAGGTTCCCCAACAATGGTGATTTGCGACGTCCCGAAGTACTACGACGATCGAGTAGTTGTCCGAAGCTTGACCCTGGCCCCGATGTTCCCGAGACCCACAACCTCTCTGCAGACAAGTCGAACGACGTAAGTGTTAACATGGAACCGAAAAAGCGCTAATTGCCGCCGTTCGAGGGGCGTGACTTTGGATCATCACAGCAGGTCCTAACGTGTACTTCTTCGACATCCACAGTCGATGCATTCGGTTAGCTTGGTGGAGTTCCGCACGAGTTCCGACGAGAAGGAGGAAATCGACCAAGCCCGTCAGGCGGATACTTGCGCGTCCCCGCTATCCATACCTCAGTCCTCGACGCCGATCCTCCGCAGCTCTCAAGCATACATCTGCGATGACCGCCCGCCATCCAGTTTCTGTGATGAGAAGCTGTGGAGACAGAGTTGTCGCTCATCGTCGAGAACAATCTCTCCTCAAGGCAAGCGCACGGGATCCGTCGGCGAGGAAGATTTGTATTCCTAAATCTGAATGGGAGGAAGAAAAACAAGCCCTCGCGATGGCGTTCATAGGGACCGATTGTGAAGCTATCAGACTTAGACTCAAACTTTCTTTCAGATACTTCACTCGAGAGAGAAGATGGAGCCAAAGAAAGATCGTTTCAGGAGCTTCGAGCCCTCTTCCTGACGAATGAAATGAGTATGAATACCCTCGATAGAAAACATATGCTTCTTGTGACGAATCAATCCCAGTCAGATGACTTCTCTGACGATGCTCCATGTTTTTCGATCTCTTTGAGCTTAATGATGACGGAGGCTTGCCTTATCATTTCCCCCGCGATCGCCTGCGCTGAGGAACATATCTCCATCCTATACACCACTTCACCTGGTGTAAGTTCTTCGTCCTTCTTCAGGGGAAAAACCACGGATCCCTGCAGCCTCTGTGGAAACCCAGTCTGGACATCAGAACGCTTCTCGTGCCTGAAACGAGTGTACCATCGACGCTGTTTCCGCTGTGCCAGGTGTGGCGCCCGACTAAATGCAAGAACATTCCATGAGTGAGTTCTGCTTCGATAGTCCGTGTCGAATGATGGTCTCGTCCGCATGAAGCCACGAATCACTCACTTCGGTGGGCCTATGTTTCAGCGACGGTGAACTGCCCTACTGTAGAGCATGCTTCGTCGATTTAAAAGTTAAGCCGTCATTGCGCTCCAGGACGAATTCCATGTGAGACAAGTCGGGATTTAATACGATAAGCAGGAAAAAATCATCCGAGGAGAACATCATTTTATTGAAGAGAAACCGTTGCGAGGTTCCCCTCTACAAGTCCGCCTTTTCAACAATCGAACTCATGTCAATTCTCGGAAGCGGATCCCATGACTCCCGAAAGGGGTCTCTCCGAATAAAATATGTAGGTTTTTACGAAGCTCGCACTCAATTCGGCCAATAGTCCTGTGAGGTCTATAGAGATCATAGTACTGATCCGTAATCGCGAGGAACGGCGACTCATGCAATAAGAAGCGAAAGACCGTCGCACGGATTTGTTCCCGACGATGAGAGTTCGGCCAAGAGGAGCGCGAGGGGATTGAAGCTTTCCCCAAGCGATTTACGATTCAGGAAAACGCTTACGAGCAGAGTTACGAGATAGGGGGACTTTTCCGCTACTCGGAGCTTTCCCGGAAAATTTCCGCTTCCCGGAGTTTCCGAGGAAAAAGCGCTAATTCCGATTGTTAATCGATTCCCCGCGACATTTTTCCGTTCTTGGCACCGAGGCTCCGCCGGCACGAGCATGGCCCGGAGGCTGGGTCGGGAATCCCCTCCTCAGCGAATCGTTCCTGATCGATCGTATTGAACTTGATGTTGAAGTTCACCCCTGTCGTTTCTCGAGAAAATCGAAAGAGAGTTGCATTGAGTCCATAGAACGGGCCAAAGTATAGAACGAAGTGCCCGCTCTCGATGTTCGCTTTTCGTCCCGATGTCCAAGTGGACCTTGTCTTTTTTCCGGGAGAAACATGTCCTCGCATATCGCAAGTACACTCATGAGCTGTCGGCACGCTCTCAGTTAATATATAATAATCGAGCGCGGAAAGCCCGAATTTTCTTGGTCTGTCTCGATACAGCTTCTCGCTTGCTTCGTCGAGGGTCCGCCGCGAGGTCTCATGTACCTCGGAAGCTTTATCGAAGACGAATCGAATAAAAATTCTTCTTCTGCACGCGGGTATCAGCGGTCAGCTCAATTTGCTTTCATCTCCTCGTCCACCCGATGGCGTGTAATCCCCTATCGGTCGACAACCTGATCGGCGACGCCACCGGAATCCCCGCCTATACGACTACGAGTCATCTTATCGCTGGCTCGGGGCATTCATCCCGCTCGAGACATGCAGAGAGAAATTACAAAACACTTCTTGTTTGGTCGGTGGATCAAGTAACCGCCGAGATTCCTCGCGCTGGAATAAGCGCATCAATTCTACTTTATAGTTCAGACGAAATAGAATCCGATTCTCGCGGAGAATCGGATATCTTCAAGGTCGATATACGGAGCTCGAAGACATCGGGAGGAATTCACTTTCCCCAGGGAGAGGATTCGCTTCACTCGTGTTCCGCCACTCGTGAGATTCTTGAATGAGCGGGATTCAAACATAACGATTGAGGCCATACGGAGACATAGATCATCTTTCCGAAACTCTGATTCTTTATTGTCGGTAAAATTCGTCAGTAGGTACAGCTTGGTCCCCACCCGGGTGTGTGCACAATGCCGATCAGGGAATTTCGCCCGCAAACTGATTAACACATCCTAACCAAGCGTATGACTATTATCTAATCTTCTAGAACAATCGGGGGGTGAGGGGGGGGAGGGTGATCGGTCGCTGGTGAGAGTGGACCTCTGAGGGGACGCCAATCAGAAGAGAGGAGAGTTGGCACACAGTCAGTTGTAATTTAGACACTACAGGGGGTCGAAGGAGTTCTTCTCGTTTGTGCTGGGTACCAGGGAGCTGACAATTCGGAAAAAGGGAGCATTCCGTGGACGGGCGCGGCGGCAACTTGATCGTACGGGCTAACCTCTATCGCACAGATTCCTGAATTTCCGGAGCGAATGACAGGCTTCATGTTTTACGACGATTCGTTCTGACGTCACCCGTCGACGTTGGCAGCTTTCAGTGCTCTGTGGGAACGTTCTCAGTGTGTACCCTTCGTTCAACACAAAACGTGATTTTCTATTAGCGAAACTATTCTCAGTACCGTTCCTTGATGCGCGCGATGAGATCACTTCGAAGGGGAGCGAGGAGGAGCTCCGAGCGACTTTGGTAGAGAAGGAACGAAATCCCGATAATGACAGCATCCTTGACGTCGACAGTTGCAGTGTCATAGCTCATCGCCCGGAACCGTGAGTCTCGTTCGCTGGCGGTCGTATCGGATTTTTTTTCGTCCCCCTCTCATAATGACCGCAGTCGAGCCTTCTACAAATTCGTTCGCTCTACCTACGAATACACATTTCATGTATGTATATCCTACAAGAACCCTTCTCAACGCAATTTGCCTCTGCGTTTCATGCTCGCAGTACATTGAGGGCAATACCATTTGCCTTTGGGCGGTTGGGTGATGTCCACGCACGGATAGTGGAACCACTCGAAAGGACAACCTTCGTTGTCGCACGCAACCATGTCACCGTATGAAACTTGATTGCAAATGCAGTATCGGGGTTCATTAGGATCGTACTGCCACTCAGTGGTTCCCGAAGCCGAGGGCGCGGCGCTGTCCGCCGCTTGGGCGTCTTCGTTACCGGCGGCGGCAGCGGCGGCATTCGCGTGACTCGCGCTCAGGCCGGCAGAATCGGTCGAATCGAGCAGGTGGTGGGCAGCCGAGTTCGCCGAGCTGTTCTGAGTCGAAGGTCTGACCTTTTTACTGCTTTTACGCGACGTAGGGGTTGCCAACGGAGCTTCGAGAAGAGCCGATATGGAGCTGCTGAGCGTGGAACAGTTGTTCGGAGTGCTTCCGCTCGCTGCGGTCGGTGTCGAGTGGCTGACAGAGGCCGCTGCCGCTACGGCTGCCGCCGCCGCTGTCGACGGTGTCAATGACGCAATATCACGAGATCCTAGAGTAAACTCACGGGCGGCCAAGTTCTGCACTGCGATGGCCTCGTAACTGGCCTTCAGCGATGCGGACCTCCGCCCTTGCTGCATCTGTTGAGTGGCCGCGATCGCTTGTGATGCGGCCGCCGCAATCGCTTGCGAGCCCAAGCCCAATTGCGACGAGAGAACTTCGTTCGAACGGGTGGAATCCGCGGACGAAGCTCTGCTCAACGGTGAGGCAACTCGGGCCGGTGGCGCCAATGAGTTCGGAGTAACTTCAGGGGAGGAAATTGAGAATTAGAGATCTCTCTCAAGCACGGTGACTGCCTGGAGAAGCTAACGGAAGCCAACCTCCCAGCGAGTGGAGAGCTCCTACCTGGGTTAGTCCGTATCAAGGGTTCCGGTGCATGCATCTTCTCAACGATTTGCTTCTTCTCCGGATGGGAGTGATGGGATCCGGAAGCTCGGCGCTTTTCACTCTGCCGGGATGGGGTTGCAGTAGCTGCCGGTGTGGCTACCGCATTCGGAGTAGTGCTTGCGTTGTCCAACTCCAGAGATCCTAGAATCAATGAGATTTTTCATGCGAGGCTGTGAGCCCTGTACTCGTGATGAACGCCGTCGGAGACCCGGCGGTCTCTCGTGCGGAGGAATTTCACATCCTCGATTTGAGTTTACTCACGCTTTTCTAGAACCTCGGTGATTCCCGCGTTGTCGGCTTCCAGTTCAATTTTGAACTTCTGCAGTTCCTGGTCGAGTTTCCGGAGGTATCGTTCAACTAGGTCGAAGATCTGGTTTGCGATGTTAACTTTCTCGTCGGCGTCTTCGAGTGCCCGATAGTAGGCGGCACTGATCTTGTCGCGTTCGTCGTTTAGCTGCTCCGCGGTGAACTTCTTGGCGTTGATGAAAAACTGCTTCACACGCTCCTCAAGAGAGTCCACCGAGTCTAAAGATCGGGTTCGTGTGTAGACTTGAGGTGGAAAACATTCGAACTACACCGCGCGTCCCGAGCGGCAGCGACCGCGCTTCGGCAGTCGCTGACACCGCGACGACCACATGTTTCTATCTGACTGAATATCCGAATATCGAATAGTGCCGCACATCGTGGTAAGCGTCTAACCGATTGGGAAACCTACTTTGAACTTGGAGGTCCATTTCACGCATTTCTGTGAATCTATCTCGGAGCTCTTGAGGGAGGTGCTCGATCACTGTAACACGCGGAAAGCACACTGAGTGACATATTTTACAGCGATTGGACGACGGTCAGGACGAGCTTTCATATTCTTTTTCTTTCGATGAGCGCTGAGTCGCCATTCGAGATGGACTGTATTCATTCCCGTGAAATGCTGTCACACTTCGTCTATCAGTTCGGAATCAGCATATGCCGGCGAACAACTCGCTCAGAGATCACTTTGACCGTCCCGTACTCACTCTCCAAGTAGTCCTCCAGGTACAGCATCTCCGGGCCGCGCGACACGAAACGTTCGGATAAGAAAACCTCGGAAACCTCCTAACTGGAATGAATTTGCAGTCAGAATAACCAGCTTGAATTCGACTGGCCGGCTCCGCCGGGAACCGGTACGAATCACTTTCCAATCGCCATGTGTGTCTGAACATTGACCGAATGTGTCGAATGGAGGACCTCATTCGGTGAAATGCGGGAAGTGGACATCGTGTGCATGAATTGAAGAGATCGATAGACTTGAAAATTTATTCGTCGGGAAATGCTCGGAAACTCCTCCCGGAGGGGAGGAAGCGACCGGGACCAAGTTTGACCGATCGGCTGAGAGGTCGGCGGGCTCCGCGAGCCCGAGAAAGCGAGAAAAAACAAACACATGGCGGAGGAATGGGAAATGCTCGAAAAACACCTATAGATGCCCACTCGAACTTAATTTGAATTTTCCCGCCGAACGGAAAATGGCCGCCGACCTGAGCATTCGTTTGCGTGGGTAATAATTCCGTTGGCGAAATTTTCACGATTTCCACGCTCATACGCACCACACTCGCGCTCCGCAGGAAGCGTACACAGTTCTGATCCTCGAGAGATGGTCGCTCGGCTCGAGAACCCGGTCAGAAAAGCCAAAGTCCGGGGAATGGGGAACGCCCTCCCAAATCACCACTGGGGACGCCGTCGATGATGAAAGTGATCCGTGATGAGACGCGTCCGAAACAGGAGAAGCGCGCGGGCGCTTTGAAGAATGCCTCTGGCGGATCGCGGACTCCGATTTCGGATTTCAATTGTTCTCCGCATGGAAAAACGCTCTCTAGCCGCGATGGCCTCCGGCTTCATGACTGTTCCCGCGCAGCGAAGTTGGATAATACTCTGATGAATGAAAGAATTTAATCGGAGTCCGGACGGAATCGTCGTGAATAGTGGAGAGAGGGAATTCTGTTTTCTCCGCATTCCTTCTGCCTTCTTCGCATCTCTCGGAGAAGCCGTAGACAGAAGCAGAAGAAGAAGGGAAGGACGAAAAAGCGCTCATGCAGCCCGTGTCTTGGTGCTTTCCCCAGACATCAACATCATCATCGTGATGGTAGTAGTTGTCGTGTGAAACCTCAGCGGGAGTTCGGATGAGAAAAGATTACCTCGATCGACATTTATTCGCTCAAGACTTGCCGACGATGAGTCGCTGGAGGACGGAGTGCGATTGAGCGTCTGACGTAGACTTTGTGGAGCTTCTGCATCCTCAGCACGGGTGTCGGAAGGGCTCAGTCGGCGGCGGCTGCAGAATCGACTCACCGGAAACTCCACGCCAGATGTTTCCTGAAACCAGTGAATGATGCAGTGAGGAAGATATCAGTATGCCTGACGATGAAGAGCAAAGGTTAGTTTCCTCCGTTGATTTGGGGCTCTGCTCGGAGGTATCTTCTGACACTGGCTTCCGCTGTTCTCGCATATTGGCTAGCATATATCCAATTGAGGGAATTGATAGAGCCGAATGAGGGTGCTCTCGCATACCTGACGGAGATCAGCTCGACTTGGGAGGATAAACGAAACGGGCGAGGCCCTAAAGACGGACCCCAGAAGACCACCGGGAAATTCGCATTCCAAAACTTGGGACGAAAGAATCCAATGCCGACGATTCGGAGCTCCGGAATCGACCACCATAGCGATAATTATTGTGGAAACTAATTGTTCGGTGGACAAGGATCTCTTCTCGTCGCTGAGAAGATCAGGCGAACTTCGTTCTCCGGATGCGCCTTGCGCGTTCGCCCTACGGATGATAGATATCTGCCCTGGGAGATTCCGCATTAATGATATCGTCCCTTGGAAATACCCTATGGGTCTCATCGAAGAAAATAGAAGCGTATGTATTCAGATGGGGAGCGTACTTCGATGGTGCGAGCTCGCCGCTCTGTGGTGTCATTGCTTCCTAGCTAGACATTCAACGGGTTTGAACGCTTCATGGGTGCTGATGCGAGACAACGAGAACGCACGGGAACGAGCTCCGGAATGAGTGAGCCGAAGAAAGCCCAGAGCCAATTACAGAAGCTCAGACAAGAGAGAATAGGAAGATTGCCTGCTTCCACACTTTGATTGTGAGCCGCGGTGGGAACCGCTGTTACTCAAAAGGGTCATTCTTCCCTATTGTGAGTGGGAGTGGAAGCGGAAAACGTGGCGGGCAGAATGGGAGATAGCTCTGAAGACTGCGGTCATTCGACTCGCGAGTCCTAAGTAGGTACATTACGAATCGGCTCCGGAGCGTCCCCCTAGAAAGTCGATAGAGATTCTGACCTGTTTTTCCCCTCTTCTTCCAGAAATGTCCGACGTCAAGTTGTTGCCAATTTGTGACATTTTGTTCGTCTTCGCCTCGTTACTCATCTTTTTCTGTGATGTTTTATTCTCTTGCCTTCTGGCCTACTCGCTCGTGCTGCAAGACCACGTCCTTTGGCCGATTGTATTTTCCGTATTTATCTTCGTGTCGTCGGTGCTGTGTCAAGGGTTCTCGTTCAAATGGCATGTCCGATCCCGGCGCGAACGCTCGCGTCGCAACCCGGTGGTCGACGACGAGCCTATGTGGATAACGCATGTAGTGGTGTTCGTGCACTGTCTCCAGGTAGGAACTGTTTTTCTTCCTGATATTATAACCGATTGAGCTCCTTATCCGGCGGAATCGATGAATTCTGAAGATCTCCGCCCAAACGATTCGAAGTTTCGATGCAAGGGTGTTCGAGCTAACAAGACTTTTCATTCCAGCTTGGAGTCATATGGCGGTATTTGCGCCTATTCATTCCGGTGGAGATCGCCTCAGTCAAGGAGCTGGTCCGCGACCTGTGTATGCTTCGAGTGATTCACGCCTTTGCTCAATCTGTGCCCTTGCTACTGATGCAGCTGCATTTGGTTCTTTCAAAAAGCCAAGAGGAGATTACAGATCTGGACAAAGTTGCGGCCTCCTTCGCCCTCGTGTCAGTATGTTGGGCCTTGGCGTCGTTCGGCAAAAATGTCCGTCGGAAGAACATGGATCGCCTCGTCCTCACATGGCTAGGGATAGTCTGCCAGTTCTTCTGGCGACTCGGAACCGTTAGTGCTCGATTCGCGGCGCTCAGTCTGTACACGGTACTCTACGGGGCGTGGATATTCCTCCTTCTGCTCCTCCATTGGCTCACTGTATTCCTGTGGCTCCTCACGTCGGATAGCCCCCGCGACAGCGACGCCGACCTCGGTGCCGACAGAAAGATGAGCAAGTGCGCCCTCGTCGCCTGTCTGTACACAATAGACTACGTGAATTTAGAGGAGAACGCAAGCAAACTGAAGTTGAGCGCTTTCTATTCCGTGATGCTGTTCGAGAACCTCCTGCTCGTCCTGCTTTGGTGCCTCGTGGACAAGAAAACGAAAATTGTTTGGTTCGAGTCTCACGCAATACTCTTAGTCTGGGCAGGATTCCTCTTGGGAATCATGTTCATGTTCCTGTATTACAAATTCTTCCACATCAACGTCTTGAAACAGCTTTACTCGGACGGAGCGTCCGAGTTGCCTCGCCCCGGCCGTTTGCCACCGTCGAAGTTTCAAAAAACTTCGAACATGGAGACTACTGGAGTTTTCAATTGTGTACTCAACAGAGGCATCAGCCGCAAGAAGAAGAAACCTTCAGCATTCGTGCCCCCGCCGAACGTCACATTCCAGCCGGGGGTGAAGATGTCACAGCCTTTCTGGAAGAGATTGTCGCTCTCGCGAGAGTCGGATTCGAGCATGATGAATAGCGATCACATCAAGTCGAAACTCGAACAGAAACACCGGAAACAGCTCATGGAGCTCCAGAAAATCCAAGAGGAGATGCAGTCCGGAAGGCTGGACGCACTCGGAGTGTCCACGCCGATGCCGCCTCACCTCCACGTCGAGCCGCCGAGGGTGAAGAGTGCCCCGTGGAACGGAAACCCCGAGTTCAGCTATGGCAACAACGCGGCTCTCTTGCAGCGGATGATGAATTTCCCGCTGCAATACGGTGCTTTCGGACCGAAAATCGCGGAGTCGATGGACGGAGACAACGACACGACCGATACCGAGCGGATACCTCCTGACGCTCTCTATAGAGAGCAGGGCTCACGCGGAAAGAGTCGCCAGAGTCGACCGCGTGTAAGATCTCATCATTTCACGATGCCCCATACTCAATTGTGACGGGATGAGACCTGAGCATTATGAATTCTATGCAGGTTATGGATTAGCATTGAGCTACCCAACAGATACCGTTTGATTTGATCTCGGATGTTTCTTAGTGAAGCGCGCCGTGGGAACCGGTATCGAATAATTGTACATACATATGTGTAAGATAGACATGAAAATCGTTGCTCACGCTCTGGATCTTAGGCAGCAAATGAGAGATTCATTTCTCTGTAAATTTGTACAAACAATAAATTATCATCTGAAGCACTGCTTGAGTTCGCTCACTCAGCGTCTTCCGCGGACTCTGGAAAGGGTTGTCCGACCGGACAAGGATGAGTACGGGGAGATATCTCACACATTTAATCCGACGCTGTTTATTCCACGCGAATTCGCGTCGCATCCGTATCAACTCAACAAAACTCCTCATTCAAACGCAACAATCCAAGCTGACATGCTGTTGATCTAATTCGATGACCCGCTGGGCTTTCGGCTAAGATATGATACTGCGTTTGTCTCACTCATAACACTTTTCGTTTCTATTTACAGCTTGATAATTTTGCTCGGATTCCAGGAGAATAACGATAAATAAACATGCTGAATTGTCCTCTGTGTTCGTCCTAGGTGTCTATGTCGAAAATTCCGCTGGCATCCTCAAGTGTTTCGCGCCTTCTGGTTGAGACAGTATTGATGGAAGGACACAATCAGGGTGACTGAAAATGAAGCGAAAGGAATTCCAGAGGCTGATCGAATTCCAGAGGATCTTCATTCAGGTGGGGGGCTAGCTCCCGACCAATCCTCCATGAACCTCCTCGAGACCACTCACCGCCATAGAGACCAGCCGCGATCCAACAATTCAGAGAAGCTGCTCGGTATTTCCGATTAATCTCTATCAAGTATTCGGACCGTGTTTTCGCGTGGATTTCTAGATCTTCAGCGAAGGCCACCGAGTTCATTCTCAAGAATATGCCCAGCAGCAGCTGTGGAGGAAGTCGGAGTTTATCAGATTCTGGGCAACGATTCGCATAAATCGAATCGCAGCTCCATCTCGAGTCAGAGCGAAATTCGCGTACCGAGTCCGCCAGTACGGTACTTCCAAGCTCGAAATTATCGAAACCAGCTCCCCGAATCAGAGAAGCAGTGAGAATGCTCCATCCAGAGAGCTCCCCGTAACCCATGATCGAGTCATGTGACTTTCGCAAAGCAGATTTAGAGCGAAGGCAATAGGTCGCTGGGAACTCGAGCAACTTACCAACATGATGACTCCCCATGCACTGAGGACCGAGCACATAACGGCTGATTTCTTCCCACAGATCGGCATTTTGCTAGTTTTGCGAATCTGACCGAAGGTAGAACGAGCCCAGACTACCGAGCGAAGGCAGACGTCTGCTGCTTCTGTTGTGAGATGCACTTGGCTAGGATCCTCCGCTGCCTACAACAAGCGAGGGCAGATTGCTGCTTGCTGCTGTCAGATGATAATAATGTCCGCAGTCGGGGTGGCGCTGCGATCGCTCCGCGAATTCTTTTTCTAACTTAGCATCTTATGTTTCATATTCGCGGTGTAGCCCGGGATCGAGTCGATTCAGTTCGAGAGAAGCAATTCTCATATGGAAGGGCTTGATGGCGACAATCCTCTTGCGACGAGAAAAAGATTCGGCTGCAGTAGCAGACCGCAGGGGTCTCTCGAAGCAATGTAAACAAATTACGTCACGTGAATCGAAAATGGATGAGCTCGGTGAGTAGATGACTTTTTCTATCTCTTCATTCTTCCTCTTTTGTCCTCGTAAATTCTATCGCGAGTTTGCTTTCGTTCGGGGAGGAGACTTCCGAGCTCTGGGTCATCTTGGATTCGTAGGAATCGGGGCCACTCTGCGGCACCGGTACTACGAGAGTCGAGGTGTCAAGTAGATGAGCACTCACAGCTGTGTGAGTTCCTTCTTCGGTAAAATCGATAAGCCGTCATCCAGCTCGAGGAAAGCCTCCATACGAGTCTCCGAGCTCAGTGAGAATCACAGTCGGCGTTCTCAATGGTTGTCGTGGTTTGGCATTCAGAGATGGGTTCGCCGAAACTCGTGATTCAGCCTCGTGACTAAGCCGCCCCCGGAACAATTTCGCGACTAGAGAGTTCGTCCGAATCGAGCTTATAATAGTTTTCCCTGCGTGCTTATGCCGCTCATTTCCCCCCAAGACTATTTCCCTCGCTCCACTGTCTTCCCTGGAGTCTCTCACGACTCACGACGCAGCTCGCAGCTCGAGGGCTCTGCAGAGATCAAGCTTCGGAATGCACTAATTTCCGAACGGTATCTCGAGCGCAGCTCTCGATGAGCAGAGCCCGCCCGGAACAGAACATCAAGTCCGATGGGAGCTCTGCCGAATCGCGGTTCCCCCGGCCGGTCGCGTGTCGGTGGCTGCGTCTGAAAAGCGACAGAATCTCTTTCATCGGATCGGGCAAGTGTGAGAAGCCGCTCAGTGGTCCCCATTCAATAGAATCTTCTTCTCTCATCTCCCTGACGTGTGTGTTCTGTGTCTCTCTCTTTGGTTTTGCCGTACGGCTCGGCTGACTAACAGACTGTTCGACTGACTGAGTTGCCCACGACTGCCACACTGACTCAACTTGTGAGAAGTGCTCTTGCCGTTGGCAGAATCAGGGGCGTTGCTCATAGGTGGGAATCTTGTCGTTAGTGGCATCATCGGCTTAATCCAAGCCCGGTGGAGGCATTCCTCGCTTTTTTGTGATCCCATCATTGGCTTCGCTCAGTCCGAGATGTTGACTCCGCACGAAGCTCACGGTGAATTTGAGCGCGAAACGGAGGTCCAAGAAGTCACCATGAATCTTCCGGAAGAAAACAAATCATTTCCCGGGGACATTCACGTCGATGGTATGAGCCGCGGCTGCGAGAGCCTTTCAAGTCGATAATTAGTGAGTTCTGTATCGGAGCGGGGATCGGCCATTTGCGGAGACTTCGAGATGCTCGTTGGAGATCGATTCGATCTTTACGCGCGCGTCACCCTTTTATACCGACCTACATAATCGGCATATTTCTTCTCACCAGAGGGATGCTAGCCTTAAGTCCGGCCATTGATTTCTTTACTCTCAACTTTCGGGATCCAACAGATGCTCCAATGCTGGCCTCAGTCGAATTTCCGCGAGATATCTGATTCATGTCATCGCTCTTTGTTCACAGCGAATTCACGGACGAATACAGAGCGGATCCAGAATGTGGAGAACTGTTTCGGATCATCTGGCCAGGTGAGTTTTTGTCCTTTTTGATCAAGTTGGTGGGGTTCTATAGTTTATGATTCACAGCTTCTCCAATAGTACCGCGATCGGCCATTCCTCCGGGAATCGGCTTTACGGTTTATAGAGAGAGGTGTTCTGAGGCATCAATTTACGAGCTCGGGAAAGTTACGTGATTGGTGGTGTTTCATGCGTTCGAGCTCCACGCTAGGGGACCTGTCGACGACAGGCTGAAACGAGGTTCAACGAGCGGCTCCCGAAATGCTTCCAATATTTTGCCAGCGAAGTCAGCTCGCGGCGACGGGCCAGTTGAATCTGACGGAGTGTCTGGATCTGGCTCCGAAAATTCGCGAGATTTAGACATCTCTCAGACTTGAGGCCTTCATCCCGTTCGAAATTTCCAGCGAACCATCACAGTCATGACGGGATTGGCGATTCCAGCGCCACAATCAAATACGTAATATTGTTTAAACACCGCAGATGCAGGTCTCCTGAGGCTTTTGGGCATGACTCATGACTCACTAAACATTTTTCGTATCCGAATGAGTCGAGTGATCCCTAGGGGATGCAGCCTCCTGTCAGCTCATCGAACTGACAGGAGGTCCATAAAGAGCAGCAAGGCTTCAAAGAGATATGCCTGACAGAGCGACATATCATTCGTTTTCCAGCCGCTACGGCAGAATGGCAGAGTACTCGTGGGAGAAGGCGTCCTGACGAAAATGTGCCGGAAAAAGCCGAAGCCTCGCCAGGTCTTCCTCTTCAATGACATTCTCGTCTATGGGAACATTCTTATCCCGAAGAAGAAATACGTCAGACAGAACATCATTCCACTAGAGAAAGTTTGGCAAGTAGATAATGGAAATGTCGTGCCGTATCTGTTTTCCACCTCTCGATCCGATACAGTCAGCCATATCTCCATCGAGAATCAACAACTCGTTCTCGTTCCAGTTTGGAGAATCTTGAGGATACCCCGGACCTCAAGAACGGCTGGGTCATCCGGACACCTACAAAATCTTTCGTAGTCTATGCAGCCTCGAGGACGGAGAAACAACAATGGACGAGTCACATAAACACGTGCATCAATGAACTTCTGAAAAAAAGTGAGCCTGGGAGCCCTGAGCGGCCATCCGGGGTGGATTCCTCAATCGGCGGGGTTGAAAAGCGGGATCCTTCGATGAGAAACTCATCTCTTCATTCACATTTCAGCGGGACGGAACCCGTCCAAGGAACATGCAGCTGTATGGGTACCAGACTCCGGTGCTGGGAAATGTATGGTGTGCAAAGAGACTAAATTCACATTGATCAACCGGCGTGTGAGTAAGCCCTATCACTATCACCCTTCGAGCCCCATGGCGACTTCGAAAGTCGGTGCAACCGAATCCCCGAATTCCCGAGTTCGTTTTCCTGTGCATTTCCGTTCCCCTCAGCCCCCGCTCCCGGATCCCTTGAGATTCCATCGAGGAGTTCGATCCTCGCTAGAGCAATTATTCGCCAATGCTGTGCACGAGTCCGTCGAGGTCCTCATCCTTGTCAGAGCTCAGGGAAAGCCCATGACGTCATACGTTCTCTTGCGGAATCCTTGCGCATCAAAGCTATAAGAGCCAATCGGAGAGATACGATACCCGAAAGCCCGATTGGTGTTTTACGGCACCTGGAACAGTCTTCAACAGTTTTCCATGGCGATATGAACCGACTCGGATTCCGGAAGAAGCGAACAGAGCATGCCAGAACCGTGTTTCCGTAGAGGCAGCCAAATTATTGATGAGTCGAGTCCGAGTACCTACCGATTCCGATTACAGCACCACTGCCGGAAATGCGGTTGCGTGGTTTGCGCAAACTGTTCTCAACATAAATTCATGCTACCCGCTCAATCCTCAAAACCCGTGAGAGTCTGTGACTGCTGTTACTCATCTCTATCAATGGGCAAGGGCGAAGTTGACCTATCCACCGGAGACACGAGCGACCAACCCGATGATGCGCAGCGATCAGCGAAGGATCTTCGAGACGCAGATACGACCGATGACTCTGAAGAAGATGAGGATAACGAAGCGGAGCCAGCCGTCCCAGAAATAAAGGAAGAGAAGGTTTGTGGATACTATACGCATGAACCCATCGGCGAAAATTCGCTCGATATCCGTCCTCTCGCATGTATCCAAGGCTCCTCTTCTGTCTCCCTGTCCCTTCTGTCAGTCATCTCCCCCAAAGCATGTCCTCTAACTTGTGTCATTCATGAGCAGTGGATCTTCCAGCCTACATTCTACAACGAGGAGGGAGCCAAAAAGGACGACGCCAAAGTCAAGATAGAAGTCGAGGGCCCTCCGGAGAAGGTCGGTGAAGCGCCCCCGAAGGACGGTCATCAAGCAGTCGAGGAGAAAATGGACCAGATGAAGATTACTCCCGAAACGAACCAAAGCGAAGAAACTAAGGCTGATTCTTGATTTACGGGCGATCCTTCTATGCGAGAAACTTCTGATCCCTCATCCAGCGTCTGATCGACGCGTATGTACTTTGGTCCCCGATTTCTGTTTGCTCCTCTTCTGGTGGAAATTTCGAATGATCCCCCTTGACCTCTGATTCACTTCAAAACGAAAAGAACATTCCCCACGTTTTTTTGTTCCCGTCAGCCGCGGGCATTGGTACCCCGCAACTGATCGTACACCGTGGCCATCCCTGTCTGAACGTATCAAGTCATTCCCATGAAATATATGTATGTACATCGGACATAGATCTGAAGATTCCCTCTCCGCCTATCTGTACTCATGGATCAAGATCTGGATCTGAAGAGCGAACTCGCATGTCGAGAGCTACGATAGGGGTCAAATGGCTAAATCCAAAACGCGGTTCGTCACCGCCAATGGAGAGATCTTTGATAACGATATTCACCGGCGTCGATATGATCGCAGCATGCTAATTAAGAATAAAGCAATTTTTTTCTACATTTAACCGAGAGACATTTATTGCTGTGAATCCCTGGCAGAATCAGCTCCCGACTCATCGCTCTGCTAGTAAGTATTCTTCGAGACGGTCGAGAGTCCGGGAGTCCTGTGGGACACATCGAATTTCAAGTATGGATCGATCAATGTCCGGGAGAGTCCAGTGATTGACTTCAGAAGATAAAGTCGGGGAACGAGCCGAACCTTGTAGAAACAGAAACGGAGCAAGCTTCTGGCTTCGTGCATGTTCGGCTCGGAATAGAATGCCGACGGAGGGATTGCCAACACCTTTTTCCGTATACAGAGCCACTTGGCGAAGAGTAGGTCTTCGGGCTGGCGGGAGTTTTCATCGCTTTGCAAATTCACAGGTTTCCCCGCTGGAATATGCTATCAATGCGGGAGGATACGCGATTAAGAGGCCCAAGAGCAAGATCATCCGCATGCTTAATACACTCACGATATCTGTCGAAATCCACCACGACGAAATACCCGGCGCTGGGCTCGAATACGCGGAAGCCTGCCCGGGTCAAGATTGAGCACATTCTGCCTTTGCGTTCTTCCAGTAGAGCGGGGAGCATCGACCAGAAGGAGGCATCTGTCCCGAAGCGGCTCATCTCGTTTTCTATCGAGATCGCAAGCGCCTCCTGTATCACGGTCGGGCATGAATTCACCGCAAACTCATGAACTCTCCGAAGAGCCCCAATGAGGTTGTCTGGGCCGTATGCCCAGCCTATGTGCCACCCTGCGGAGATTGTGAGTCGAGGAATCGGTACGGAGGTCGTGCGCTCACATTGCATCAATGGAATTTCCTTCTACCCGTCGGACCTGTCACGCTGAAACTCTTGCCGGCACTGCCGACCGTGATGGTACGCTCCCACATGCCGGGTAGAGTAGCCATCCTCACGTGATGACCTCTGAAAACCGTACGTTCGTCCACCTCATCCATAAGAGCCACAACGTCGAACTCTCGGCAGAGCTATGCGATGTCGAAGAGTTCGCTCTCTGTGAAGACTTTCCCGAGAGGGTTGTGAGGTGTATTCACGACGATCATCTTGGTGCGCCGAGAGAACTTCGATCGCAGACCATCCATATCGAGAACCCAATCTCCCGAGGCATTCTGGGGGAGAGGATCGAGTTTCAATTCGATGAGGCAGAATCCGAGAGAGCGAGACATTCCAGCGAGAAGGACAAACCGGACGCAGCGTAGCGAAGACTGGTCGTGCATCGGCCATGCGTATCATCGCCTCGTAGCAATCGAAGAAGGGCTCGATCAGGATGACCTCGTCATCTTTATCCAAGAGTCCCATGAAGGCATCGAAAAGTGCCTCGTAAGCGCCGATGGTGACAACTAATTGTCGGTCAGTGACTTCGCGTCTGAGGTCTCTCGAATACAGTCTCCTCAAGGCCAAAATCAATCGATTGGACTCCTATCATTGAACATGGAGATGATTTCGTGATTCGACGCGGCGAATTCCTTGGAGACTAATTTTATCGTCCGCCCTCCGAACTGCTCACCTGACCTACAGTCTCTTGGTGAACCTCCGGATTCGAGACTGCCGTCCGGAGAGCCTCAGCAATGAATTCCGGGGGAGGCATGTCAGGAAAACCAGACCCCAGATGCACTGGCTCATGCTCGCGAGCTAAGTGGCTGAAGATTTCCCTGTGGAATTTCGAAGCTGGTGTCTATAAATAATCTGATGAGACAGAAACCAGTGGTTCAGTTTCGACATAGAGCCGGAAAGACCCATTGTTTCGATCTCGCATGCGAACCTACCAAACGTTCAATCGCAAATTCCCGAGTCTTTTAGCTGGGCTGAACTTCTCCATTCTGACTCCGGCGCTCAGCTGATGACTCCGTTGATAGGATCGCGTTTCGTGAATGATTCCCAGGTGATTCACTCCGCCGAGCACCAGCCTCGATGCCGCTACTGGAAACCACTCACGATGCCGACAGTGACAAGCTACCGCACTGATTCTAAGGGGCAGCATCGAGCACGTGACAAGCGAGCTATTTACAAATCGGAGCTGAGAGTCTCGCGCCTTCTGGGCGTACCGCCCGTCGCTGCCACCCAGTCTCTTCGTGGAGAGTGGCGACTGCTTCCCATGAAACTTATGCGGGCCATGAGAGGAAACACTCCGAGAGGCTCCGAGAAATCGAAAACGGGGGCTCGCCGACGGGAGATACATTTCTCAGGTATCCCACCCGACTCGATCGAGACTTCCGACAGCGAGCCATGTCCTACATTGAGAATCGATCGTACTTCGCAACTCCTTTTCGGATCCTCAGGATACGATTTCCCGAGGAAAAGTTGCTCGATGATCCTCCATGGCCGCGCGTGGTCACTCCAGATCTCAATCACAGAACAGTCTTCAAAAGACCGGGACGCCGAAGTCTGGAAGAGCAGCAACCGCCTGATTGCACTGAAGGAATTTGAAGCAAAGATCATCTACATCATTGCCTCCATTCACACAAGCCCCGCCTGTGTATCCGCGCTCGCGATTTCTCTTCAGTATCAGCTCCCGCTTTCCCTGCGCGGGTTCCATGGTTTCGCGAATCCTGTATCATTCATAACCGACAGCTCAAATCCGCAACCTGATTGCATCAGCTCCGTCTCCAGGTCCGCTATGTATAGCGCAAATAGTATCGGTGACATCGGGCATCCCTGTCTGAGACCCACGTTCGTCCGTAGGCTCATCAAGGTATCTTCGCCGGTGACGATTCTCACACTATTATTGGAGTAAATCGTCTTTATCACCTTGATCCAACTGGTGTTCATGCCCAGGTCTTCCAGTTTCTCCCATAGCTTCGACCGGGATATTCGATCGTACGCTTTCGAACAGTCCAGGAAGCATGCCAGCATTCCTTTCCTTTGTCTTCGAGCGAACTCGATCGCCGACGTCAGGATGAATATATTATCTTCTCCACGTCTGTCCCGTCTGAAACCCCACTGCATTTCTCCGAGTATCTTCTCCTTCTCCATCCATTCAGTTATTCTCGCAGTTATATCTTTGTGAATATCCTGTAGAGTACCGTGGATACAGTTCTTGGTCTGTACGTTTCCAGGTCTCCCGTTTTGGAGTTCGGTTTCTCGAGCAGTGAAACTCGCCCTCGTTTCCAGTCTTCTGGATTGGGTTCTCTCCCTTCGAAGATGTCATTGATTAGATCTGTAATATAGTCTAGTCCAGCGGTTCCCGAGCTTTTTGGCTCCGCGGCTCCCTAGCGAACCCAGAATTCCCCCGCGGCTTCCAGGATACCCAGTGCCCACGCGGCTCCCAGCATACCCAGTGCCCACGCGGCTCCCGCGGCTCCTACCTACTCTCCCTTCTTTTTCCCGTTAAAGAGACTGAATGGGAATCTCCGGAGACAAGCAGCTCCTGGCTGGAGAAGGTAGCCTCGCGGGCATACCAGAGCTCTCTAACAAATGAGTCTGATCTCTCTCGACGGAAGAGAAGAGTTGAGCTTCTCGAAGCTCACGGGAAAAAGCTTAGTGGTGGATGAAGTGTTCTCTGCGGGGAAGACACAAGGAAACAAAGGGTGCTCCGTGCGGTGGTGTGAAAGCGAGTGAGATTTTATTTTAGCTTCGTTCACTTCTCGATAGAGTAGGGCGGAATAGGTTTGAACCGAATGGCGGGAACACAAGCGTGGCAGATGGAGTCGATCCGTTTCGGAACCTCCCCTTGGAATTGACAAACCCTGACGGCCCGGACCTACACCAGAGATCTAGTCCTTCGGTCTTCATATGTTTCAAGATGCCCGCAGGAAATTAATCTAGTCCTGTGGCTGTCTTGTTGGGTATATGGGATAATATCGCCTCCATCTCCAGCTTGCTCGTTTAGATTCCCGAGATTTCCAGCGTTAGCGTTTCGTGAGTATCTTGGGGGCATCTCGGTCGAACAAGGAGGCGCAAAATAATTCGGTGCAAATTCCCTCTGTGCTCTCGGCTAGAGAACTGGCAGAAGGCCGCAAATTCTTCGAAGTCCAGGTGAATGGTCGACCCGAGGGAGGCTGCACGGTGGCGGATGGAAGGGATTTTCGCATCAAGGGCTATTTTACGGCACATAAAATCGGCATTGTTCGGAACCGGTCTTGGTTCCTGTCACAGGTTCGAACACTCTCCTCTGCGGCCGAGCGTTGGAACGGCTCGGGCTGCTTCGTTGGGAGACGGATTCCTCAGAGCTCCGCATTTCTTCAGTCGACTCTACTGCTTCTTATGCGTCATCCCTGCAGACGCGCTTCCCTTCCCTGTTCGAGGAAGGCTTGGGATGTTGTACTCAGCTAGAGGTCAAGCTCTAATTACACGAGAATGTCAAGCCAACACATCTACCTCCGCGACCGATTGCTGTCGCTTTCAAAGAACAAGTTGATAAAGAGCTGGACCGTCTGCTGGGGAACGGCGCGCTTGAGGCGATGGAGCAGTCAGACTGGGCAACACCGATTGTGGTAGTCAAGAAACTCAATGGGAGTCTCAGAGTCTGCGCTGATTACTCTACCGGGCTGAATGCTGCGTTGAAGGACTTGATCCTTTGCCGAATATGGAGGAGATCTTGTCAAAATTATCCGGCAGCCGAATTTTCTCACAGCTTGATTTTGCTGATGCTTACCTGCAGCTTCGGCTTGACGATGAGAGTCAAGGGTTCACTACGATTGCTACTCATCGCGGTCTGTTTCGTTACAAGAGGTTGGTGTTTGGTCTGAAGACCGCACCGGCGATTTTTCAAAAGGCAATCGAACAGACGCTCTCTGAACTGGAAGGGGTTCTCGTCTATCTAGACGACATTGTCGTCATGGCTCCGGATGCGGGGACGCATGAGTTTCGTACGATAGCGGTACTCGGAAGACTCCAAAAGTGGGGGTTTTATTACACGACGAAACTGCCTGACTCGAACCAGGTTCCTGATCGGGATAGTTCCCAATTTCAAAGAATGAGATCAATGGCATTCTCCAACCTTCATCCGATTCTAAATCGATTGCGGACCCCGGTCCTCAACGATCCCGCTCAGGAAAACTAATAAGTGATAACCCTTCAATCATGATCCGCTCGCGGAAAGTCATTAATTACAATCGCGGGTCATCCTAGCGGGACCTTGATCTTCGCCAATAGTTAGTGGATACATTCTTGAATCTACTTGCGACCGACCGCGTGTGCTAATGAGTTTTCGCCGCAGATTTGAGGAAACAAGCCCGCGATTGTAGCGAAACCTCTATAGTTCACCCAGTCCTCCAGACTCGAATCGTCTGTCATACGCTCGTTAACAACGAGGAGGGACGGGGTCGAATCGAACAAGTGTCTCTGTTCCCTTCTAAGTCGTCGGCGTCTTCCGGCTCTGAGCTGATAGACATCAGCTCGAAGCTCTCGCGACACGTGTCACCGCGTTCAGGTTGGATGACAGCGAGACGTCGATGCATCTAACGATTCATTATCGGCCTCGTGAGTAGGACTATGAAAGACCACTACAAACGCATCCCGGATCGGGGCGAGACTGGTGGTTGCCTGTCGATCCATACTGCGAACAACGAATATAGAACTCCATTCCTTTCCGAGAATGATCCGCTCAGGCTCCACGGATTATCGGACCATTGTCTCGAGGTACACAGAGATATTAATCACATTTAGCATCTTCAAGCCGACCATCCATGGATGAGCTTCGCTCCGAGGGATTTCTGCCGTTACATTCGGTCATAATTAGACTGCAACGAGTCCGACTGGCGATCATTGAAATACATGGAATGATTAGATCATTATAGTCTTCTACAATCATCATCCGATCCCTCATGAATAAGTGAAGGAAGGTCCTCGGGGTATCGAAGCAGGCTCGTTGAGCAATCGGAAGCAAGTCCGATCTTCAGTTGGAAAGCCTCGGTAGCAGATCTCGAGAGACTGGGGACGGCTGCCAAGCCGCTCGCCAGCCACTTCGATGGAACTACGCGAGCGTTGGTCTATGCTTCATAGGTAGCTTTGCTGTAGTTTGTGGGTTGGTTGGTTTGTTGGTCGGTCCGATCAACTGAATGTGAGCCCGGCTCCCCTAGTTTGCCAAGGCCGCATTGCGGAGGAGGAAGACGACGACCCATCGTTTCAAACGAGCTGACTCACTATCACGCCAAACGAGCTCTGCGAGCGAAGAGCGAGAGACAGCTCATAGCTTCCCAATACGCGTTTGCAGTGTGAGACGGAATTCAGCGAGCTGATACTTGATACATACTTCTGATTCTGCAGCCTCAGCCTCCGTGGAGGGATTCAATAAAGCTGGGTCTGGTTCTGAATTGGCCGATTCTAACTCGAAACACTCATTCCACATTTCATCTTGTCCCGAAGACAGAGACGGATACCGAGAGAGACTTCGATGGAATTTGATTTCTCTCATAGAATTCTATGTATAAGAGCCTCGAACTTTCTGACATCCTGTCATATATTAACCATCGTCTTCTTTGCAATCTCTTTAGACTCATCAATTTCATTAAACATCCTTACTTACATATATTTACTATCATCATGCTCGATATCTTACCGTCGTCCCCTCTTTTGAATCGAAGTCTTCTCTGTCGAGCAGAGCGCTCATGCAGAGCGCTCATGCAGATCGCCGCTGAAGCCCTTCGTGCAGCAGCGGCTGTTCAGTGTTTCACCCTGGTTCCCGCAAAGGAGCGGGCTCCGACCTCGCTCAGGAAGCGGCGCTCGAGGATCTCGGGCGTCGCAAAAAAAAACGGAGAATTCGCCTGGAGCTCAAGGAATTTCCTCGCAGCGCTATGACGCCCAGAAATAAAATTCCCCCAGGAATCTGGCGACCCTGATTCTGAGACAACCCGAGCGGATCTACTGGAGTGATTGCGGTTCTTGTGAGGGGAAATGGACCAGGCTTCCGCGGCCTCGACCGGATAATGTTCAAATTGTACGAGGGGAGAATAATCCAGCATTTTATTCCTCCCCGAACGCCTTGACATACCAGAGGTTGATCGACAGAAAGGGTCGCGTCCATGTGCTTCGAACCGTATAGATATTCCTCAAGTCGACGTTCACATGTGACGCGTCGCAAGTCGACGAGAAAGACACGACTCGAGGAAATAAACACGCTATGACGCAAACATAAACAAAAGTGTTCGCGAACCCCGAATCGCTGTGAATCTCGGTGTTTCGAGGATGCTGCCTGTGCCGACTGATTGTTCAAGTAAATCGCCGTCGAGGAGTTCGAGCAAGGCCTCTGAGACGACGCCTCGCCGCAGTCAGCGTCTTCAGTCGCAAAGAACAGGACCGAGGAATCAGGCAACACAAACTTCTCCTTCGAGAGGGACCGTGAGTCCTCTGAAACAGACCGTATCTACGCAGACGCCGTATTCGCCGCCGAGGCTCGGGTGTAAGGAAACACCTCGCAAGAAGCTTTCCCGGATAAGCACTCCGAGATCGGAACCACGCCCTCGTAGATGGTCTCGCTGCCATTCGTTCTCCGCCAACAGCACAGAGAATGAGATTGAGTCGACGACGCCAGAGCCGAAAAATGCGAGGGAGAAGCTCCAGGACGATCCGAGCGCATCGAAGACGGGGGCGAAGTTCTCGAAGAGACGGCGAACGGTGTCGTGGGGCTCAGCGACCGAGCCCCGGAGGCTGCCGAATAATTGGAAACCTCCCACGATCGAAGATCTCCAAAGAGCTAAGGAGGACCTCAAGCTCCTCGCGTCCAGCCATTCTCCGCGGGGTCGACTGATGCTGCAGCACGCTCTGAAGAGTAATCCCGTAGTGCGAGTGACGCCTGGAGTTCCAACCTTAGCCTTGAGATCTCCATCCACGGCACCCGGAGCGATTCCCGAAAGGGAGAGTAGTCGTGTGGGTACGGGTTGGAGGGCTCGTCCACCGCACAAGGTCCCGACGGAGAGTTCACTCGAGGCAGTGCTAATGGCTTCCGTGCCGAACTCGAGGTCAGCGCAGATGTTGGGAGCGGCTCTGAGGATCAACCCCCCCGGGATATTGAGCTCGATCTCCGGCGATTCCCCATCGAGTCGAAAGCTGTCGTCAGGCATCTTGAAACGGGTGACATTCAAATGATTCCGGTCGCGTGTATTCACCCGATCAGCGAGTGAGTGAGAAATACCTGGCCTCCCCGGCAGTTACGCTCTGAGGCCACAATGAGAAGAATATTGCGTTCATTGTACACAGCATTCCATTCCTCAATGTACTTTATTTTGGTTTCGTTGAATAAACGACTCCTTGTTCATGTCCGATTCCGTCTAGGTTAGGTTAGGTGGGAGGTATCTGACCGAAGTTCGCAGCGGCACTCGACCGTTCCGCGGAAAATCGACCGACACGCCCATCTGTGACAGGGTGTCCCGCTACCCGGAACATGCGGAAGCACCCGAACGGTTCCCCACATCTCACACCTCGTCCATACTTGCGAGGCTTTTTGGAGCGAGATGATTTTTCCCAGTTTCGGGTTCCGCAGGAGTATCGAAGACCAATCGACCAAGGAGAAAGTCTCTTTGAATGCTCTTTATTTCTCCGGCCCGATCTCTGCATGCAAACGGTGCCCTTTTTCTATGGGGATTCCCCTCCGGATTTGTTTGGAGAAGGCGACCTGGATCCGATGCTCTGTGAGGCCGATCTGCTTCTGCTCCGGCTCCTCGACCTACTGGGCGATCCGCTAGCGGATCTTGATGCCGATCGTGATCGCGATTCGGAAGCACTCTTTGAACGCCGAGAGCCTGACTTCGATCTCGATCTGCCGAAGAAAAATCGAATGGATTTCTCCTTCCGCCCTAATTCCATGGCAGATCAGCAGGGTGAAACCTTCAGCCTCTTCAATACCCACCTCGAATTCCTTGGGGATCCCGAGGCCGATCGAGACCCACTTCGCGACGGAGATTTCGATCCGGATCGCGAGCGCGATCTTCCCGAGTCCGAATGGTGAACTTCGTCCTCGGAGGCAGACATGACCTTCTTTCGCTTGCCCTTGTCCCCTGGAAATCGGAGCCGAATTACGTGCAGTCGGAGTCATTTCCGAATCAGGAATCCAGATTTTGAATCTGCTTCCAGTGGACAGCGGGCCAGAGAGAACACCAGAGCGATTGCGAGAGTGCCTCGATCGTATAATTATTTTCACAAGCTGGATCGACTCCCCGGTAGGGATTCGGCGCATACCTTCACTTTCGCTGCCCGACGACATGATTCTCTTCGCGCCACGGTCTTCGTCCCCGCTGGCCTCAGGAGCGGGACTGGCACGACTCGCATTTGACTCTGAGTCGGAACTCGAAATCGTCGCCTTCGACCGAATTTTTCCCTTCTGTTTTTCGGTAAGTCTTTCGGCAGCCTGCGAGAAGAAATAATGTCCCTCAGCAAAAAACCGGTTATTCCTGGCCAAGGCTCCGAGAAGAGCATCTCTAATCGTACTCATCGAGAGTCGATACGACCCACGAGGTACAAACCTTCTTGGCTTTGCCTTTCGGCGCTTTGGGGCTTCGCTTCCGCCTACGACTCTGTTTTGTTTCTTCAGTTCGTTTCGTCTTTTTCTCGCCTTTCTTCTTCTCCTTCTTCCGTGCCTTCTTTTCCTTTCTCGACTCGGTTCCTTCCTCGTCGTTGCCTCCAGGTCCGCTCCCCTCGTCGGACGAGGTGACGATTTCGCCTTTATCCTTATTTCTCCTTCCCCTGCCGGGTTTGGCCTCGACCGGCATCTCCTCGAATTTAGTCTTGTGTTTGCTCTGTTCAACAAACTGCTGACGTTTGGCAACGAGCTCCTCACGTTCTCTCTGTCTCCTCTCTTCTTCCTCTTTCTGTTTCTCCTGAAGTTTGGCCCGGAGCTCTTCACGCTCTCGTTGTTGTTTGATTTTAAACTCTTTCTCCTCCTCATCGAGTTTCCTCGCCCGAGCAACGTGGTATTGCGCTTGATTCAGAAGATCGGAGCACTGTCGTGCTTCGGCCATGGCCTGTTCGGGGTTGTACTTGCCGCCGGTGGTTTGGCTGAGCGTGGTGAAGAATTTGTGAGCGATGTCAAGCTCGGAAACAGCTTGCAGCACTGTTCTCAGGTTCGACTTTTCATCCTTGAGCACTTGCATTCCGAGGCGTTGGAGGACCAAGGCGATGTTGTACAGGATTTGAGAATCGTTGGGGACCGCTCGTCTGGCCCTCAGGAGAATCTGGAGAGGGAAACAATTGAATTTCACCGTGAGCTGGCTTCGATCCGACAAGGATCCGCAATCGGTATCGAATCTAGGAGTTTCTATACTACTCTCAAGCCCAGTCGGGGTCGAATTCTCGCTCAAGGTTCGAGTACTCACGTTCTTGCACTCCTGGAGTTTCCCCGAGCGGTAGAAGGCTCTCGCCAAATACAGGAGAATTTCAACATTATCGTACTTGTAGAATTTGTGGAGGCAATTCTCGTACATTTGGATCGCCGATACATATTGTTTTAGCTCGACGTAGATGTGAGCGATGTTCAGCCAAACGTCAGAGAAGTCGGCTGTCGCCTCTCGGACCTGCGCGAAGACTTCCCGAGCTTCGGTGATGTAGCCTTTGTGGGCGAGCACAGCACCGATTCCGTTCGCAGCCCAAATATTTCTGGGATCTATCCGCAGGGCTTGTTTGTACATTGACAGAGCTCGATCCTGATGACGCTTCTCCTTCTCTTTATCCATTCTCGTATCGTGCAACGTCCACAGCCAAACGTTCCCAAGAGCAACAAGGGCGTACGTGTCGGATTTCGTGGTTTCATTGTTGAGAATCTTCTCGAACTTTTTCTGTCCCGCACCCACTTCCCGGTTATGCAAATGTAGGTTTCCGATGAGAGACCAGCAGTCTGGGTTCTGAACGTCAACCTGGAGGGCGTCTTTGAACCACACAGAGGCGTCGTGG